TTTATTTTATATATAAATATAATATAAATATATATATGCATATATATTATATATAAATGTATTTATAGAAATGAATAATAAAAATGAACCAGTAAGTTTGTAAAAAAATTTCTTCTTTCTGCTGCCATTAATTTTCAACCGTGAATCAATTCTTTTTGTTTACTATTTATCACTGTAAACCCCACAGCTATCATTGCACTGAGAGCATGAAGTACACCCCATGGATTCATGGCCTGGCTAACACAGCGTGTTGAAGGAATCAACTGCCTCACAGAGATTGGCTTGCAGCGGTGATTATGTAACATTAAGACGGTCTTAAACTGTTAAATTGCTCTTTTAAGAAATAAATATTTCAAGGGGCAGGGTTCTTTGGAAGGCTAGGATTTGTCCCAATGGGTAATTGAAGATACTTGTGCAGCTAATTCGCCATGGCACTTTCTCTCTGAGGTGAATTTGTGTTGACAGACGGCCCAATTATCTAGTGTCAGAGCCAAACGCCATTAAAGCTAGGCCTTGCTCAATCGCATTTCTTCTGAAGATAGTTACCGCTGATCTTGCTGCAGCCTGACTGATGCTTAAATGGGTGTTTGCCCAACCCTAGGAGAAGCTAAGGCTGAGCAGAGAGCACTGAGGTCTTCTTTGGCTGAGATATTGCTCAGTGCACAATTAATTTGCATTCATTTGCATGAGTTGTCTGAACTTTGTGTTTGTGCATTGCATACATTTTCGTTCTTTCGTGGCACACAAAAGGTGAATTTTTGAAAAATATCCTGGCTACTTTGCACTTCAGTGACAGCAAATGAGGGATAGGATTTTCAAGCTGCAAAATGAGAGAAAAAGTAATAAAAGAACCATAAAAGGGGTCCATATGACTCATTTCAAGTCTTCTAAAGCATACATAAGCCTTGTGTGAGGAACGCACTGAATTTTTTGTTTTTCATGAACAAATCTTCTGACGTACGTATTTTTAGTTACCAGGTTAACCCCATTCAAATAACCCGTTTGAATGATTCACTCACAAATTCAGTTTACTGACTCAGTGTGCCCTGATCCAGTGATCCAGTCTGGAAATTTTGGTCTGATTATCACATTAAGTGGAAGGCTATAGTTTATGATACTTTTGTGTGCTTTTGCATTCTTTTGTGCCATTTTTGAAGCTTGAAATCCTCACTATTTTAAGAAGTAATTCTTATTTTATCCTTTGTACAGGCCTACCAGTCTAGACCTGCACAACTACTACCACACAGAAAACGATGATGAAAACCCTTTTATCTGTTCTCAACCACGGGAGAATGGCGTGCGTCTGTGCACCTCCATCCCCACGCTCCACGAAGAGGGCCGGCAGTGCCAGCTGGACATGGCATCTTACAATAGCACAGACAACACCACCTGCGTCAACTGGAACAAGTAGTACACCAACTGCTCTGCCGGAGAGGCCAATCCCTTCAAGGGGGCCATAAACTTTGACAACATTGGTTATGCCTGGATTGCCATCTTTCAGGTCAGTTGTATGTCTTCTTTTATTGCTGATTCTGTGAAGACTTATACCAAGACCTATAAAAATACTTACAATGCCTTAGAATGACAGTTTAGTAAGGATGCACAATAT